CATCCATCTCTTGATTTGGCTCAGGTCATGATCTCACAGTGAGATCGAGCCTCGTGTCTGGCTCTGCACTGGTCGTTGAGCCTGCTTAAGATTCTCTCTTGCTCTGCCCCTCCTCTGTGCTCTGTCTCTCTCTGTCCCTCTCTCTCTGAAATAAATGAACAAATAAATTCTAGTTAACCCAGTGCAAATATTGGTTTTAGTAGAATTCAGTGATTCATTACTTACATACAACACCCAGTGCTCATCACAAGTGCCCTCCTTAATACCCATCACCCTTCTAGCCCATCCCCCACCCACCTCCCTCCATTAACCCTCAGTTTGTTCTCTATTGTTAAGAGTCTCTCATGGTTTGTTTCCCTCTCCCCCCCTTCATCTGCTTTGTTTCTTAAATTCCACATATGCAGTCTTAGTGAAGGTGTAGATTTGTAAAGAATTTCTGGTGGATAATATTGCAGCATCTACCAAGATTTAAAGCGTTCATATCCTTTGGTCCAGCAGTTCAATTTCTAAGTACCTAATCTACAGAAATAATCACACAAGCAGGCGGAGATGTAGGCAAAGGGATGTCCATTTCACCATTGTTAATAATAGTGAAAAACTATTAGGCATAAGAATTGGCCAACAAAAGAATGGCTAAGTAAGTTGTGGTACATCCGTACTGTGAAATATCATCCAGCCTTCAGGCATATAAGGCAGCTCTATAGATGTAGTTGGACATGCTGACCTAAAGAGACAATAAAAATGCTTTTTCAAGGGAAGAAACAAACTATAGAACACTAATGTGTAGTATGATGACCTTTGTGATTTAAAAAACAGCCACCATGCATGTGTGTGTGTGTGTGTGTGTGTGTGTGTGTAAATTCATAGACGTTCTGAGAAAAATGTGAAAATCCTATTGTGAGCGTGGCACGGGCTTACACATGTAGGTGAGAGAATAGAGACTTTCTTCTTATTCTCTGTATACTCCTTTGTTCTTTGAAACCCCTTTACAATCAAAATGTGTTATTTTTGTAATTTTTAAGTTAAAAAAATGAGAAATATGTCAGATACTGCAGATTTCTGAAAGTTCCCAAAGAAGAATCCTGGAAGCGGTAACATGTTTGTTACATTAAATTCACACTGTGCCACTGTGACAGGAAGAACAGCATCTAATGCGTGCTATGTGGCCTTGGGAAGGACACAACGTTTCTGAGCCTCTGGTTTTTTTTTTTTTATATGGAGAATGTAGATAATACCTGCCCTGTGTGTTTTCATCAGTTGCAAAGATAAAATGGAAAAGCAGTTGAAAAATTATAAAGCCTTGTAAAAATATGAAGCATACTTAATAATACTTCATGTGCTAGTTCTTTGTCAATAACATCAAAATTCAATACCAAGAAGAGAATTTAGATGATCTCTTTGAATTGGTTTTAACAGAATTCTTCCTGTCCTGATTAGGTCTTACCTATAGAAGCAATGTAGGCATTGTACGTCAATGTTCTAGAGAGTTATGTGTTTGTATGAGACATTCTGGTGCAGATGGGTTTGGGCAATAGCCTTATGTCATTCATACTCTTCATGCCACCCATTTCAGGGCCAGCTAGCTTGGTCATAGTGAATTAATTAGAAAGCTTTTACTTAGCACCGACTTTGTGCTTAAAATTCCACTGTAAGCAGGTAGCCAGATATCCAAGTTTGCCTGGGACTGTTACGTTTTACACCGTCCCATTCCGTAATGGCTAATAGCAGCCTATTCACTCTCAAAAGTGTCTTGTCACCTATGGGGCATGGAAGGAAACACAGGAAGCCCCTGGCTTCAAACACCAGCCTTAGAAATTTCTTTCCCAGTCCCAGCTCTTCACCACTGGAAAAGCCAGTATTACTTTCATGGATCTTTTGGAGACTTAATGGACTCAGAACCAAGGCTGAGAAGACCTGCTGTGGACCTCCAGAGGGCTGCCCCACAAGTTGCCCTCCTCTGCAAAACCTCCTCCCTCAGACCATTTCTCTTTATTGCATTGTTTCATACTCCTGGCCAGAGATTTATTTGGGGTGGGAGGGGGGAGCAAGCATTCCATTTTCTATAGTGTAAACAGGTTGGGGAACGTTTATGGCAATTGATTTTTTCCCCTCCTAACATAGAGCTGATTGATGGTCTGCTTCTATGGAGGAAGGGGACTGGAGGAATAAGGTTGGAAAGGAAAAGGTAGTCTTGGAGCATGAGTTATGGCTGGTGAATTAGACCCTCCCTCAGGGCAACCAAGGAAATCAAGAGGCCAGGGGGCCATGAAAGTTGGGAGCAGAAAGGAAGGTGGGTGTCAAAAATATGCAATAGTTATTTGGGGGAAAATGTTGTTATGTTGTTTTGTGCTCAACCCATGTCTTAGGAAGGGAAAGGAATGTTCTTACTTGGCCACCTACTGCTCCTTCTCCTCTTCCCCTGCTCTATATGGCCCAGCACCCAGAATTCACACCAATGGCCTATGTGCCACATGAGTCTGGGAATGAGACTTCCATTTAAAGCATCCTGCTTTGACAGGAATGTGTTCTTGGATTCAGTCAATGGGCTTACCAATACATTTTTGTATATGCCCTTTCTTTCCTTATGTATCTTTTTTTTTTTTAATTTTTTTTTTCAACGTTTATTTATTTTTGGGACAGAGAGAGACAGAGCATGAACGGGGGAGGGGCAGAGAGAGAGGGAGACACAGAATCGGAAACAGGCTCCAGGCTCTGAGCCATCAGCCCAGAGCCTGACGCGGGGCTCGAACTCACAGACCGCGAGATCGTGACCTGGCTGAAGTCGGACGCTTAACCGACTGCGCCACCCAGGCGCCCCTCCTTATGTATCTTTTTAAGTTTATTTATTTATTTTCAGAGAGAGAGAGAGAGAGAGAGAGAGAGAGAGAATTCCAAGCAGGCTCCACACTGTTAGTGTGGAGCTCAATGCAGGGCTCAAACTCATGAACCGTGAGAACATGACCTGAGCTGAAGTTGTATCCTTAACCAACTGAGTCACCCAGGCACCCTAGTATATGCCCTTTCTTAATTTGGGACCTGCCTGTATAAGACCTTGTCTCTGCCCTTGAGTGGCTCAGCTATTGGATTTAGGGGAGACCCAGTTAATAAATAAGAAACTACTGGAAAGCAAGTGCCAACCATAAGGTATTGGCTCTAAGTACAGTGCAAATCTTTCCAAGGTGGGGCCCAGACAGGGGTTGTATGCAGGTTCGTCAAAATTTTCACATAAGACGGCATTACTGATCTGCCCTAAGAATATGCATAGACAGCAAGAGGATGGAGGAGAAAATTCTAAGTAATGCTGGAATTCACCTGGAGCCAAGGTTTGGCACCAGCCATGAGCATGGACAAGAAAGGCTGTGGGAAGGAATCAGGCCTGATGGAAGCAGTGGGAAATTGGCCCGGCTCCACTGAGCTGGGCTCAAACATTCCCTGTAAATTAAAGTTCACAGAACATATCAGTGCAGTGCGTACATGTTTCAGAGTGACTGAGGCAATAAATCGTGACAGCGTGTTTCAGGTGGGTAATTTAACATGACTAAAGTTCAAAGGAGGTGAGGGTCAGATCTTGGAAAGTTAGGGAATCCAGATGAAGGACTTTGGTCTTGTTGGAAGGCATCCATAATGGTGTTAATTGAAGATGCTTAGTCAGGGTTGAAACATCAGGATGTGGCTGGTACACAGGATGAAGGAGGAGGGAGTCAGGGAGACCATTTAGGAAGCTGCCACAGTAGGCCAGGAGTAAAGAGCTAACTACCTGACCCAGGGTGGAAGCAGCAAATTTGTGAAAGGACAAATGTGAGAGCCATTGCACAGGTAAAAACAACAGGACTTAGATATTGTGAAAGAAGAGCCAGAGGAGGCCTTCCTGCATCTGAATTTAAACACAAGAGGAACTGTTATGAAGGATTCTCACCTATGCAGCCTGTCATGCTCTCCTAGGGAACTCCCTTTCCCAAGAAACCCTATTGCACCTACTCAGTAACCTAATTCTGCAAAAATTCAGATTTATCCGATGAAAGTCTTTATTATTTTTATTATTATTTAAGTTTATTTATTTTTGAGAGACAGCGAGCATGAGTGGGGGAGGGGCAGAGAGAGAGAGAGAGAGGGAATGAGAGAATCCCAAGCAGGATCTACACATTCAGCACAGAGCCAGGTGTGGGGTTTGAACTCTTGAACCATGAGATCATGTGGGGCTTGAACTCTTGAACCGTGAGGTTGTGACCTGAGCTGAAATCTAGAGTTGGATGCTTAACCCACCAAGCAACCCAGGAGCCCCTCCAATGGAAGTCTTAAAGCGTTTATTCACTCACCTGATTTTACAAAGTTAGGTGGGTGGATAAATACTACAGGGTTTCTGACCAGGGAGGCCAAAGCATACTATTCATTCCACTGCCGAGGTAGTGAGAACCACCAGGTCTTCAAAAAAAAGTGTGATGTGTCCACAGTTGGTTCACACAAGAAATGAATACTTTTTGCTTCATAACTCCTGTGTCCTTCCTGTGAACCCTGTCTCCTGAGAAAATCTCAGAGCACGAATTTACTAACTTAATTTGTAAAAGGAGGTTAGTGGATCCATACTGTAAGACTTTTATGGAAATATTTGAAATTAATTAGCCTTGTCAGCTTTTATTTGCATAGGTTCACTTCCAACTGTATAGTCCCCCCAAATTTAACTTTTTAATAAGTATGATTTTAAACAATAAAACTTAGAGAATCTGTGTACAAAGAGCTTGAAGAATTTAAATACATGGGTTTATTATTAACACAGTAGCAAATATATCAAGAAACACGCCCCATGAAAAGTGTTTCAAAGAAACACACATCTGCTGTGAGAAAGGAGTATACCCAATAAGTAAGCCCAAAGAAACTGTTTGCTTCGTGATACCAGCAGATAAGCCTGGCAAACCTTGGTGTGATTGAAGAAGCCAGTTTGACACTCAGCCTAGCCCAGGCAAGCTACCGGGCCTCGCCTGAGCTCAAGGAACCTCGACACAATGGTGTTCGCATTTTGGAAGGTCTGTCTGATCCTAAGCTGCTTTGCAGGTAAGGGAAGTGTCTCCAAACCATCAAAGATGATTGGGAATGGTTTTCTTTTAAACTCAAATCATGAATTTTTACATGTGTTCTTCTCTTGCACTTCAAGGGAATTATGATTCGTTTGCAGAATAAAATAAATGTTAGAACTCTAGCTTAGCAAATATAGGCCATGTCGTAAATGTAATTGTTTTATGTAGCATCTGAATTAAAAAAATTTTCTCTGAAAAATCACAGTAGCTTTCCTTTTCTTGATTGGGAAGGTGAACAGATTAATTTACTCATAAGCTGAAGTTTGCACTAGGGACAGTTGTGTTTTTTTCTGTTTCAGTTTAGTGTTTCCTTTAAGGGAACTCACTGTGATCAACTTGCGTTGTTACAACAGGCAGAGCTGGGCTTGGAGGGCCTACTATGCTTCACTCTCTAAGATTTCTTTAGGTGTTGCTGTTTTCCAAGCCTAAGACTGTATTTTGGAAAATCCGCGAGTGATTTATTGTTGTACATGGCATGGGTGTTTTTAGGGATCCAAGCAAAACAAAATAATTTTTAAAGTCAAAATCCTGATGTTGGTTAGACCCAGGAGAGATCACTAATTCAGAAAATCTCTTGGCTCATTTTCTCAAGTACCAGATACATTTGAATCTGTTTTTATGATGTTAGCTAGGTACAATAATATTATTTACAGTCATGCTGATATTGTTAAGCCATTGGCAGTATTAGGCAGTCATTAGGATGAGGTTTACTAAGCATATTTAATGACATAAGAAAATGTCCAGGATAAAATATTAAGTGAAAGAGCAGATCCACACATTTGACTAGAATAAATTGCTAGAAGGTTATATACCAAAGTGCTCATGGTGATTACCTCTGGCTGATGGGATTATAGATGATTGTCATGTATTCCCCAGCATTTCCATATTTTCCGGGGTTCCTACAAAGAATATTAGACAAGTTGTATAATTAAAAGTGCTACTTTTCGAAACTATATGGTAGTTAGTAATAGTTCTCTAGATGTTCATTACTAAATGTTTAAACACATGTGTTCTATGGAATCACCAGAAGGCAATATTGCATTTATCCTGTGATCTAACCAGGACTCAGAGCTGGAACAGCTAGAACACCTTTCTCAGCTTCTGTGCCAATGGGACTATGTCATGTCACAATTTTCCCTTCCCCCAGGAATATTCATTTTAAACCTTAACTTTAGACAGTGAAAGTCTTTGTTCCTTCTTAAAGAGCTTCCAGTCATTAGCTAATTTGGTTATCCCTGGGTCTTCTGCACCAGCCCCCTAAAATCACACATGTAGTCAATAGCTATTTCCTTGTGCGAGGCCTTATGCAGGCCTATACTAGACAGCAGTTTTGGAATAGTTACAAGAATGGTTTTTACTGTAACTAACTAGCTAACTAACTAATAGTAGTTAATTAGTTAGCTAGTTTATATATGTAATATATATATTATATATATAATTTAATAGTATATATATATAATTTACTGATTACAAGTGTAGTGTATGGTCATTGTGGAAAGGTTGAAACTATAAAAACATATAAATAAGAAAATAAAAATCACCAACAATTCTACCACTCAAAGATTTGGTTGAATTTCTTATATATATATATATATATATATATATATATACACACACA